TCTTTAATTGGAGAAGATAGAAGGAAAAAAAAACAATTGGGCCAAGTTTTCTCAGAGGAGCATAAACTATTTTCACAGCTCATTTAAAAGTTCCTCCCTTTTACCTTTTCCACAATCCCCACAAATACACCCGTGCATCACTTTTTTAAATAAATTAGTCATTTCTAAAGAAACCAAGTATTTTTACCAAAGTATTTCATAACTGCCTTTTAAAACTAGTGCTGTTATAGACAATGCAATAAAATAAAACAGGAGAGAACAGTAAATGGTTGCCTTCATTCTCCAGCATAGTGGTCGGTTAGGCAAAGATCTCCTCTCAGGACCTTAAATACAATCATACTTATGCCTTTAAAAGAGAAACAAAATTAAATTCTGCATGTTTAACCAAGCTTTCCAATATCAATCAGAGACCACAGTCACCTGTTACCTGGATCAATTCCAAAGCCTCCTAAAAGTCCATCCCAAATCTTTTATCGACAATGACAATCCACTTCCCACACATGATTTGTGTCTTGTGAATAATAAAATGTAGTCACAGCAACGTTAAAATCCTATCACAGCCCCCATAACCCTAAACGACAGTCTGGTTCTTGACTACTCTAAAGCCTTCCCTCTCTGCCCCTAATCTCTGCCTTCCCTATACACTCTCACAGCAATGGCCTCCTCATGAGTTGAAGTGAGTTTTTCCCCCTATTTTAAAACTATGCTGCCACCCTTGGCTCTGATTCTTGTTTCTTCTGCATGGACTGCATGTGTCTGAGATATTTAATTGGCTGGCTCTCTCACTGAAAACAAATTTTCTAATCACGTTACCTTTTAGAAAAGATTTCTCTAGTCTTTTCCATTAATCTCTATCGCCTTGTTCTGGATTCATTCTGTTTTTCCTAGCACAGGACTTCCCAACCCTTAGGCCATGGATTGCTACTAGTCTTCTGCCTTTGAGGATCCAGCCCTCACAGCAAGAAGTGGGCAGTCAGCAAGAAAGCAAAGCTCCAGCCGTATTTACAGCTGCTCCCCATTGTTCACCATCTGAGCTCCATGTCCTGCCAGATCAGCAGCAGCAACAGATTCTGATGTAATTTCAGGGCCCACTGTAAGGGCTCTAGCTTATGTGCTCCTTGTGAATATCTAATGCCTAATGATCTGAGGTGGAGCTGAGACAGCCATGGTAATGCTGGGGAGCATCTGAAAATACAAACTAACATCAGCAGAGTTTGAACAGAAACCAAAAACAATTGCTTCCAAAGTCATATCAAAACCTTGTCCGTGAACAAGTAACAACTAAGGTGCATCTAATGGCACATCAGATTAGATTATAGAGTAGACTGAACATACTCCACACGCTTTAGGTATCCCATCAAGCTGTCTCCTATCACTCTCTAATGGGACTGTCTAGTTGCAGGAAAACAAGCTCAAGGATCCCGTTATTCTGCATTGTAGTGACTTGTATAATTATTTTATTATAAATTACAATTTAGTAATAATAGAAATAAAGTGTGCAGTAAATGTCATGCACTTGAGTCATCCTGAACCCCTGCTCCTGCCTGTGAGTGAAGTCCCTGCTGCCAAAATTGTTGAGGACCACTGTCCTAGAACTTACCTCTAACCAATGTAAGACATACGTGTTTATTACCTGCCTCTTACCTTAGAATACAAGCCCTATGCTGGTAAAGGGATTGTGTGTTCCTGCAGTCTCAAATGGGGAACACTGCCAGAAATATTTAAGTTTGAAGGTATATGTTATTTAGAAATTAAAATTCCAAGTCATGTTTTAGTTTACACATCTTAAATTAGTGTTGTGTCCACTGTCCATTCCTTCTGAAATACTCTGTTGTGAAATGCTCTTTGCCAATTGTGTATTTATTCATTAAAACTACCCATCACAACATACTTCTGTCTTAACATTTACTCGAGTAGTAATGTATATTCCAAAAATCTGACTCTATTCCTGAAATTAAAGTGTAAACTGAATAACTCCCTGTCAAAGGCAATGATAGCTGATTGATTCCACTGTTGTACCTTGAAAAGATTTCCAAATCATCTTATGTGTCCTACAACCTTCTGCATATTGCTATTGTTCTTCCATCTTGGAGATACCTAACATTCTTCAATGGATTCTGCACTCCTATTTTTTGGTTGTTGTTTTAACCAGAGTCAGCTTCTGTTGCTTACAATCCAAAATCCAAATAACATATATATATAATTTATATTTATAATATGTATGCATATATGCTAATATATACTTATGCATATTATAGAATAATATATATACACATATATAACCTTATATAATCTGCCTTAAAACATAAAGTTTAACATGGAGACTCCCAACTTTCTGTTTCTCTCTCCTCTCTCTCCCCTCTCTCTTTCATCTCTCTCCTCTCTCTCCTTTCTCTTCCCACCCCTCTCCCTCCCCTACTGTCTATTTTACAACAAAATTCCCCATTATACAGTGTTCCCTTAGTTGCTCATATCTCTTTTGTGGCACCAGTCCTATAATTTGAAAGCCCATTCCAATTATTTTAATGTTTCAAAACCATTTATCCTTCCTCCCATCAAGCCCAAAACTCAGAGTCTGATCAAGTAGAAGTTGAAGTGATGAAGTTGTTGATGTAATATACCACACCAAGTTTTTAATACCAAACAGTTTTGGCACAGTTATGGAATAGAGATGCACATGATTACAGTACATAATTTTTTATTTTAGCAGAATCAGAAATATAAAGAGAGACTTTCCTTTGCAGTTTTTGAAGACATAAGCTTCCCTGTTATGAGATGGAATGAGAGAGCCATGTAGCAAGGATCTGTGAGGGCTCTAGAACTGATGTCACATTTTGGAGGCAGCAATAGGGGAAACCTCAGTCCCACAACCACCAGCAACTAAATTCTGCCCATTCTCCACATATGAACATAGCGTAGTGGAAATCTTGAGACATAGTGGAAATCTGGGCAGACCAGATGAACCTTGCTCAGAGACATGAGAAATAAGTTTTGTTTTAAGCCACCAAGTAGAGCAGCATTTGTTACACAACAATAAAAAGTAATATATTGGTCTCCCCAAGGAGACACGAGAAGAAACAGTATGTCCTGTATACTAAAATATACATGAAGGAATTACCACACACATTGCTCTTATACATTTCAACTTACTATGAACCACTGATGTCAGGATTGTCACAGATTCTTTGTGTAGAATTTAAAGCTTTATACGAATATTAAACATTACATAAAAGTGAATCTCCATCTCATTCAGTTTATTACTGTAATTTAGCAGCTGTCACAACACCACGCAATGGCAGTAGTGGCCAGTCGTACCTAAGCAGCTCCAAGCAACTGATAGTGGGACTCCTTTCTGATGGCCACCACTCATTCACCCGCTCTTTCACATGGAAGTAGAGAAACAAGTCCTCAGAACTGACACCTGCACACTGTCCTGAGTATTTGGAGGCTGGCTGTTAAATGGAATCCATAAAGGTCCACATAAGGACACAGCAAAGCAGTTTGTCTATTCTTCCCTGTACTTGAACAACTTTCTACCATGGCTCTTGTTTCTCACCTCAGTACTTTGCTAAGATGATACTAAGATTCTTACTAATTTGTGGTTTCCATTCTAACATCAACCTAGATTTACCTCCTGGTATTTGGCCACATTGCTGGAGAAGCACAACTCCTTGGTAGCCCCTACGGCTCAGTTCCTACTGCACTTCACGACAGAACCTACATTACGATACCACATTATAGTCAGAAACTCTGAGTTACCATGACTATGCCAGCCAGCATAATTTCATATTATCAGTTCATGATTCGTAGATAACTGGGCAATAAAAATTTTGTGAGTAATTTTGAATGTAATTTTAATATAATTAATTGACATTATAGTTTAATAAAATTAATATGACTATGGAATCCTGTATCTCCAATAACTTTCAGTGCTTCAGTGATTTTCTGTTAGATAAAATATATTTTTTAATAAATTCACCAAGTATATACTAGTTGAATTTCTTGTTTTTACTATTTACTAATTTGAGTGTAGTCCTGTATGGCAGTTAATTATGGTTTCCTTCTCTATAAATCCCTCACACTTGCTTCAAAAAACAGTGACTGCCATTACACACACAAACACACACTTGCTATGAAAAGTTGCTGCAAGCGATAAGTTAAAAGCATCAGAAATATGACCACAAATTTCCTGGAAGTTCTGATCACATGTTTTCATTCATGCAATTACAGTTTGACAAAAGAGCTGATAGTATAAAATTTTTACTCCTAACAAAAATCATAGATTTTTTGTGTTGGTGGTCTTTGTTTTAGGGAAGATTAATCTTTATATTCCTCTTGATTTTGTCTGTTATAAATCTCAATCCCAAATCGTATTTTCTCATGGTTCTTCTTAAATGGTTATTCACAAATCCAGTACCATTTCTGGTAGCCTGCAATACTGTGATAAAACCCCCTCTTTCTCTTTCTCCTTTCCCTCCCTCTTCCTTCTCCTTCTCAAAGCAAATATGTCTCAATGCAACATAAAGTTGGTCCACAGAAAAGACTAAAGGGTAAATGTATTTAAAAGCTCTGTGATGATGAAAATTTAGCAAAAGCCTTCAGTAGTCAAAAGCCAATGCAACATCAAGCATGATTTGATTTAAGAACATCAGTGTATATAACATATTTTGCTTACAACCGACAATGATGAGACATAAGTTCAGCAATATATTCAGGACATACCATGAAGGGCGAATTCATTAAAACTGTATTCATCCTGGAACAAAGTTCTGGGGTTTTCCTGAATGAACCACAAGAGCAATGATGGCAAAACGTTTAGAGCTGTCAAAGATAACAAACAGCCAGCTGTGGTATGTGCGGCATAGGTTCGCCACCACTGCACATTAGCATAGCACATCAAAACTATACCGCACTTATCTGCAAACAACTGAAATTTTTTTTAGAAAAAGGATATTCTAAAGAATTCTTGAAATAAAACTAGTAACATTAAAAATACTTACAGTTTCTTTAAGATATGTAGAAATTCTTCAAAGGTTTCTGGGGATCCTTTTTGTCCATATGAAGCATAGCCACCGTGTGCTTTTTTAATGTGAACAGCTATGTTGTGAGAATCTTCAGGTTGGTTTTGACTTCCTTCTTTAGCTTCACTAGGTTTTCTGAACAAAGAAACATAGCATTTTATGACACTGCATATTGCAAAAAAATTATTTACAAACATTTTGACTTTATTGCCAACAGGAGAAATGCATTGTTCTGAAATAACTTGGCATTTTAATATTATGTCATAATACAGTGTCATTCCTCTCTCTCTCTCTCTCTCTCTCTCTGTCTTTTTTGGGGGATACAGGGGCTTGAACTTAGGAACTTGCACTTGTGAGGCAGGTAGCAGCACCACTGAGGTAAATCCCCAACCCAGTATGTCATTTTCAATGCCATAGTACTATTATGTTTGTCACACTAAATTTGGAAATTAGCACATATAAAATATTTTCAGTGTAAAGAACTTCATTATAAGCATTACAACTATCTTAAGCAATAGAAATATCCTTCATAATATATTAGACTTTTGTAAGTTAGGGACTTTTTCAAGTCAATGACCAATACCCTTCTCTTTACACTAAAAATACTTGTTTTTTAGTGTGAATTTTTTAAATTTTTGTTTTCCATTGGTAAACTATGAACATTTGATGGTGACCACCATTCTTCATTCTTGTGCTCTGTATGATGTGTTATAGATTGAAGCACTCAAGAGATGTATGAATGAGTGAATGACCATTTCACATTCATTTTACCATTAGCAAACCTTCCTATTAATAAGCACTGAAAATTTGAGGGAAATGAATCCAGTAAGTGTTGTTTATTTTTAAGAAGAATATGAGGGTAGTGGGAAAATGATTTTTAAAAATTCTTAAATGACCATAGATTTAGCATCACAGTTTGGGTCATTAATGTACATGAAAATATTTTAAAACAAAGTTAAATATAAAATGTTACACAAAGTAGCAATAGTAGGTATCACATTAACATCTAACATTCATTGAATCCTTAAATGTGCTAGTTGCTCTGCTGAGTGCTACATACATATTTTTTCATTTACCATGTGAAGTAGAAAACATTCTCTCATTCATAATGTAAGAAAATTGTAGGAAAACCAGTATCTGAAAGAGAGAGAGAGAGAGAGAGAGAGAGAGAGAGAGAGAGATGGAGATTTAGACAGAGTCAGAGACATATGAGATGAAAGAGACTTAGGCAAAGAATATTCCAGAAAGAATGTGCTAGGAGTTTTCCTGGAAATAAAATTCTAAAGATGCTAAAATTTTCTTCAAAAACATTTTGCCCTATCAAATAGGCACTGCACAAAAATTTAATAGCCTTAATTAACCTTTTAATGCTATTTTGACATGTGGGTTTATATTTACTCCTCAAGGTAAATGACAGAGAGGCATGAAGTTATTTATGGAGCTCGATTGTTACCATATAGAGTCACTGATTACAGTGGTAGTTCTTTTCCCTACTTTGATGAATATTTTTAAGTTTTGGCATTGCTTTTACTGATTATGAAACAAATGAGAATGTTCATAATCTACAGCAAGTTGAAAGACTAACAAAAAACAACACTAATAGGCCCACCCAGCATTTTAGAAATAGAACTTTACTGCTATGTTCAGTACTGTACAGTAATATCCCTATCTACAGATGGCACTCACCTAAAAGGTAACCCTGAATTTTGTTTCTATTGTTGCCTTGATTTTAGGATAGACTTATAAAAGATAGATGTACTGAGAAAATGAAAAAAATGGAAATAAAGTGTTTGTAAATGGGGAGGGGAGGAGGAGGTGAAGGGAGGGCAGGGACAAGGGGAAAAAATGAGAACCAAGTCCTGTCATGTAAAGGTACAAGATCCCAGTAATGAATGTAACTGTATTGTATACCTAGATTGTACCAATAAACTCAATAAAAAAAGATCATTTGAGTTTTGAATATTTTAAGCCTTATGGAAATCAAATAATTCTTAGTTTCTATAACTTTTTTATTAATATTCTTCAATTTGTGTTCATGAGATTTAATGACTATAGCTGCTTCATTTTACTGCTGTACAAAAGTTTATTATGTCTTTATATACCACAAAGTTTTGTTGGTGGTGGTTTGTGTTTGTTTTGCTTGCTTTTTTGGTAGTCTGCAAGCAACTGGATATTCATTTTCATGTTTGATTTTTGTTTCTTTTCTGTAACCAGGTTTATATGTGACACAATTCAAAGGATATCCTCAGAAATGGAATTGTCGTAATTCATTTTCATATTAAATTATACTAGTAATTATCCAAAGTGGATAACATTTCCAACAAGTTGTAACTTTTAGGTGTCCTATGTTCTCACAACCACATCATTATTTTATTTTGTAAATGTACTGCAAAAGTCAAACTCATTTTATGTGGTTATTCACTAATATTGACTCTATAAAAATTACAAAGTAACTTAATTCCTCAGCAACTATAAATCAAAACAGTATTTTAAAAACTTGTGATAGCATTAAGATCTTTTGATTTAAAGTCTCTTTTGACTATGTTGAAACTTGATCATGAAAAGTAATGGTGCTAAAATTCTCTGCATTCAAGCATGAATCAAGGTGATGGTACGGAACCGCCCTACACTTACTGATTTCTCACTGTCACACACTTTCGACTTTAACAATCAGTACGATTAATCTTGAATACCAACTCATCCACCCTTAACCACACCCCTTTTGATGCTTCAAGTGAAAACTTAAGGCACACAAAGCTTTCTTAGAGGATTCTGAAGGCTTTTTCCTTTTCTCAAATCCAGATTTTATTTGTGCAGAGATATGTACTGTGTTATAGCTCTTAACAACTTGACAATTTTTTTCAGCTTTAATTGAGTTTATTGATACATTTTAGGGATACAGTACAGTTACATTCATTGTTGGAATCTTGTACCTTTGCATGACACGTCTTGGTTCTCATTTTTTCCCCTTGTCCCTGCCCTCCCTTCACCCCCTCCTCCCCTCCCCATCTACAACCACTTTATTTCCATCTTTTCATTATCTCACATTTTTTCCTTTTCCCTTACTACCCTTCCCCTACCCATCCCACCTTCCCTACACCTTGAGCTCCTTTCTTCCCATTTCTAAATGTCAGTATTCTTCCAAATCTTTCTTCAGTCTTTGTTATGGCTTATATCTCAATCTCCCCTGAAGCCTCATGTGCTCCACAGGTGGGAATGACTGGATCACAGGTGTGTGATACTGGATCAGTCCACTGACTGGTTTAGCATAGTTCTGCATGTGGGTGATTGAATGGATGAAGTAAAAAGAGAAAGAAGGAAATCACACTGCTTCCTGCCTGCCTTATCATGGACTGTTTCTCCTCTGCCACATGGCCCTGGCTTGATGCTGGCTGACCATGGGCTGGAACCTGCAATCTGTGAGCTAAAATAAACCTTTCATCCTTTAACTTGTAGGTGTCACATATTTTTGTTCTAGCAATGAAAATGTAACGAAAACAGGGCCCCACTTTTAGTAAATCTATATACATTTTTCTAGGTAGTAATTAGAAACAAAGTAATTTAAGCACTCTTTCTTGAAATGTTTGCCATGGGATTCTTCCAAACAAAGAAATAGCTATGGATGAATTCCCCCAGGAAGTAAGGTGACAAATTGTAGGCTTTGTCTTGTACTGGATAAAAGCATTGACATTGTCACACGGGTGGCCAAATGCATCTAAAGTTAAAATTGAAGAGTCAAGAGCAAATCCCATTATAAACTCTTCACAATTAGCATTGGAATCTTGTCTATTCTTATAAAAATGAGTATTGTATTGTTAGACAGAGGTGAGCAATATTTACCTGATTTCTATTAAATTAATTATTATAACAAACAGTTTTCACTTTTATTTTCCAAAAAGCAATAGAAAATGTGCAGTTAAAAATAAACAGTTGGATTGTATTCTTTTGCCAAAGCTATATAACCTTTAACAAGGTATGTGAATATGCAAGTGACTCAAATTGTTTACAAAATATTACCAAGGATTTCTTTCTCCAAAGGATGAATTAAAATTAAAGTAGATTAAAAAGTTAGGGCATTTCAAAGCAACTTTTGATATAGCAGTACATTAATACATACTTCTAAAACAATAATCAAAAACCAAGTTCTTTCTTTATTCGAAACATAAAATTGAATTCACAATTCAATTCCTAAAACATTTGCTGATCTACTAACTCAGACAAAAGTTGTTGACTGTCTTCACTATCTCAGCTCTGGGGTATGAATTATTTGTATCTTTCCATTTTACCCACTCTATTTTTTCCACCCACAGAACATTACTGAATTAGTCACACACCTGGGTGATTACACATCTACATTATCTAATTTTAACTGCTCCTTGATTTTGTTCAGCTTTCCCAAATTAGCTATTTGTCAAGCTCTTACAAACTCACCTCAATGGTTTTCATCTACTTCCTCTTCCAACCCCATTTCCACATCTGTGGACAACTCATCTCAGTACTATAACACTCTCTTCCTGTGATTATTAAGAATTGTTGAAAAAAAAAAGAAAGAGATGCACCATCCTCCTAGCCATTCAGCTGTATTGTTTCAAGTAGCACTTAACTTCCAATTTACAAAAGAATATCATTAAATGCAGAGAAAAATGTGGCCTGTGAATATTCAGAATTTCCATCCATTGTTTTTTAGTGATCTCCTTAAGTATGTCTTAGCCCTCTAAGGTTAATCTAAATAATGGATGGGGGTAGAGACTGATTTGGGAGCCTTTGAGGGCCCCGTTAGGAAAAGAAGAAGGCATATTTCCTGACACTGATAGTAGATAACCTGGAAGAAGCTCCAAACTTTCAGCTATATTATTTTGAGCCATAGAACTGACTCCCTTTGAATCAAAGATGGGCTTTTCCTAGGCCAGAGGTTTAGCTCAGTGGTTCCGCTACCTACCTCGCAAGCGTAAGGTCCCAAGTTTGATTCCCAATACCAAAAATAAATTAATTAATTAATTAATTAAGATAATTTTTTTAAATATGGGATTTTCCTCAATTGCACAGAGTCTCTGATGAATGGGATTTATAAGACAATACATAAATATTTACAGTACGTCTTCAACTGAAAGCATAATTTCACCATGTTCACTACC